CATATATATATTCTAACCTTCTTATATAGTTTTTACCGCTTGTCTTCACTTCAGCTATGAAGAAATTTTCCATCATTCGCTACCAAAACAGGAGGACCAACACTACATACCAGTTAAGTACATTCTTTCTTTCTTTCTTTCTTTCTTTCTTTCTTTTAACCTTTTGTGGGTAGGGTGCTGACATTCTTCGCCATGCCATCGCTACTTCAATCTCTGTAGTTGCTTCTACTTTTACATCTCCAGTTGCATGCTTGTATCTTGAGCTCTCCCTTTTTAGATAAACATACATTCAGTTTTCTTACATTTGATGGTAAGTCCATTTTTCCCGCATTAATTTCTTACTAGTTGCTTTTCTGACATTGAACTGTACGCAGGAAAGATCGGTTATTCGAGCTGGCGGTCAATAAGTTTATCTGGTGCACGACGGAGAAGCCAGGAGGAAGTGAAAACTGAAGCGATAATTAATCAGTCATTGATTTCTGGTCAAGATATTTCGTGCGTCAGGTGTCTTTGAGACGGACGCATTTTGTCCTCGGGATCTACGAGAAGACAGTGTTCACTGCATGATATTGAAGTAAGTTTGATCTCTTTATAAGAAAAAAAGAAAAGAACTAATTACTTCGTTATAAGAAAAATATAATCCGAACGTCTCGCAAAGAGCATTATCCTGACAGGGTAATCTCTAAGTAAGATAGATAGATAGATAGATATATAGATAGATAGATAGATAGATAGATAGATAGATAGATAGATAGATAGATAGTGAACCGGAATGAATAGATAGATATTGAACTGGTTGAGATAGATAGATAGATAGATAGATAGATAGATAGATAGATAGATAGATAGATAGATAGATAGTGAACAGGAATGAATAGATAGATATTGAACTGGTTGAGATAGATAGATAGATAGATAGATAGATAGATAGATAGATAGATAGATAGATAGATAGTGAACAGGAATGAATAGATAGATATTGAACTGGTTGAGATAGATAGATAGATAGATAGATAGATAGATAGATAGATAGATAGATATTGAACTGGTTGTGAGATAGATAGATAGATAGATAGATAGATAGATAGATAGATAGATAGATAGATGAACAGGATTGAATAGATAGATATTGAACTGGTTGAGATAGATAGATAGATAGATAGATAGATAGATAGAGAGATAGATAGATAGATAGATAGATAGATAGATAGATAGATAGATAGTGAACAGGAATGAATAGATAGATATTGAACTGGTTGAGATAGATAGATAGATAGATAGATTAGATAGATAGATAGATAGATAGATAGATAGTGAACAGGAATGAATAGATAGATATTGAACTAAGATATTGAAGATGATAGATTGATAGATAGATAGATAGATAGATAGATATTGAACTGGATAGATAGATAGATAGATAGATAGATAGATGAACATAGATAGTGAATGAATAAAGTAAGATATTGAACTGGTTGATAGATAGATAGATAGATAGATAGATAGATAGAGATAGATAGATAGATAGATAGATAGATAGATAGATAGATAGATATGAAACCAACTGGATAAATAGATAATAAACTGTATAGATGTATATATATAGATAGATATAGATAGATAGATAGATAGATATAGAGATAGATAGATAGATGTAGATAGACAAATGTATAATTATATATATATATATATATATATATAGATAGATAGATAGATAGATAGATAGATAGATAGATAGATAGATATTAATTAACAGATATATATATATATATATATATATATATATATATATATATATATATATATATTCAAAATATATTGTTAAATAAAACAGACAATGAATGTCAGTTATGGTTGACCATGAGACGTTTTGAAATTTCGTATTTATTAATTTGATATCCGGAAATTTAATGCAGCATTCAGGATAGGTGCCATAACTGCTTTCATTCCAGAATAATGATCGGCATATAAATAAATATCGTATTGCTTGTTACTTTAAAATAATGAAAAATATTCTACAGTGCCTGGCATTCTAAGAGGAAGGACTTACAAGCTTTGAAATTCAGCGTATAAAATAGTCACTACAATTTAGAATTGATAGCTAACACAAACACTCTGAGTTTAGACAACGTCTCAATTTAAAAATCTATTATTGTATATATTACCACATATCTGTTTCCTCTACTCTTGCGTGCGTGTGTGCGTGTGTGTGTGTGTGTGTGTGTGTGGTCTAAACTTCATTCTCAGGTAGATTTTGTTATATTTAATAATAAACGATTATGACTTTGGGACCTCTTTGATGTTCCGTATGAGATGAAATTCACTTGTTTAAAATCCTCTGCATTGAACCTCTTGTATTCATTTATGTAACCGCTCTCAAAGAGACAGGCTTTACCAAATCCTTTAGGTTCCCAGCTGGACTCCGTCTATCCGTTCAACCTATCATTTTCAGACTGGACAAAACATGAGGCTACCGCTTCGTTTTGGACAACTTTCCCATTTGTGACGATATTTCCTCAACAGGGGGTAATTTTTTTTATGTTTCATTAGAAACATTCCGTGACTAACCAACTTTTCGTTTAAACTATCCCAGTGTTTATAGTGTCTATCTGCATAAGAAAGTAAAATTTGATAAGAGAATCTATCTATCTATCTATCTATCTATCTATCTATCTATCTATCTATCTATCTATCTATCTGAGCCTGTTCATATCTATCTATCTATCTATCTATCTATCTATCTATCTATCTATCTATCTGAGCCTGTTCATTCTATCATCTATCTATCTATCTATCTATCTATCTATCATCTATCTATCTGAGCCTGTTCATATCTATCTATCTATCTATCTATCTATCTATCTATCTGTCTATCTATCTGAGCCTACGGCCACTTCACCTTGAAACACCGGTTCTCTTACGATTGCCGAAGTTAAGCAAGATCGACCCTGGTCAGAAACTAAAAGGTTAACTACTTGGGAATACCAGGTGCTGCAAGCGTGGATGTGCGTGTGGTGTAATGGATAATGGCTCGGAATTGTTAATTGGAAGGTCGACTTTCATTTGAAGTTGGGCTCGTGAAAATACCCTTGGGAAAGGTATGAATAAACCTTTTCTCCCCATGTTATGGTTAATTATTAAGATTTTAAACACTAAATTATTGTTATCTGAAAAAAATTTACAATCTCAGAAATATTATTTGGCTTTTAATAAACTGCTAATGATTGACAAGCGGTAGAAAATGAATGTATCAATCAACATCGCTCTGGCTCTCTCTCTCTCTCTCTCTCTTTCTCTCTAATTGAGTGGTATAAGACTCGGGTTCGATTCCTGTCGGAGAACGCATATTTTCTACGAAATTTCTTGAAAATGGGTGATACACGCCGATCATGTATCGAAAGATACACGACTGACGAGGCAGATTTTTTTCTGCAGTAGACCAGTTGCCATCCAAAGTTATAGAACCCAGTCTGTCCTGCTATTTACCTATAGCTGGAGGGAGAAGAAGAGGAGGATTCGTATCTTTCGCAAGGGTATTAGTGCTTAAGTGAATATAATGGATTCGACTGGAATTCGAACTCGGCTCTCCGAATTCCTCACTCCGAGCCGCTTTCCATTACTCCACCGTGACTGTTTAATAAAAAACAAAACAGCATTTACATAAATAAATCATTCTATTCATATCTGTCTATCTCAATCTGTTTATCTCATAATCTCTCTCATATGGCAGAAAATCAGTTTAGCAATGAGTGTCAACTATACACAATTGCTTTTTCAGTTCAGTAATTAAAATGGCTTCGAGCGAATATATGTATGTTTTACAAAAGGACCAAAATTTTTCGAAATCTATGCATTGGTGCTACAGAATAATACACAAGGAACTGTACCAAATAACAGAGACCACATCACCTGAGGATTTTCAACGATGACAAATAAAATAGCACATGAAACCTGATGAGAAAATAATGGCATAATTACAATGTTGACGCTTAATACGAACAAAGGTTTACCAGGGAAGCCGCCATCAATACTTGAAAGATTAATAACAGTTACCAGACTTGAGAAAATGCCAACTGACATTCGTATTATCTCTTCTGAGAAATAAATATTAAATGATTCTTCATGAGGTAAAAGCTATTATTATTGTATTCATTTAACCCCCAGGACAGGGTGATAAAGGCACGAGAAAAAGGAAGATTTTAGAAGGGACAGGAAACTCAATTATAAACAGGAAAAGAAAAACTACCCCTGTTTTAATAACCTGAGTTTGAAACGACTACATTTACCATCTGTCTATATATCTATTATAGTACGTCCATATCTATTTAAATATATATCTGTTCATTTATTTCAGTCTGTTTATGTTTATCTTAGACAGATAGATAGATAGATAGATAGATAGATAGATAGATAGATAGATAGACGCGAACGAGATCATATTGATAGATACGAACGATATCATTTATATATATACATACATATATATATATATATACATACACACATACATACGAATGAAATCAGATAGGTAGATAAGAACGAGATCATTTATACGTTTATATATATATATAATTACATACATACAAATGAAATTATATATATATATATATATATATATATATATATATATATATATATATATACACACATACATACGAACGAAATCAGATAGATACGAACACGATGAGATTGATAGACATCAAAGATATAATTTATATATATATATATATATATATATATAACGAAATCAGATAGAAAGATAAATATATACGAACGAAATCAGATAGATAGATACATAGATAGTAGAAAGATACATGCATACATATGAACGAAATCAGATAAATAGATAGATACATATTTACATACATCCAATCGAACGAAATCAGATAGATAGATGCATACATACATGCCTACAAAGGAAATCAGATAGATAGATAGATACATAAATACATACATACATACACAGGAATGAAATCAGATAGATAGATAGATAGATAGATAGATAGATAGATAGATAGATAGATAGATATCAATGCCAAATCTTTCGAAATTATTATTGTTACTATTTTCTCACGATTCACCATCACCTTTATTTTCGTTTTCTTTTGCGTGTCCTCTGAGATTTCCATGAAGGCCAGCAATTGATTAACATGTTATATAACAAAGATAGCAGGCGAAATTCGACTTTGCAATGTCCCTTTAGAGCTCCAAACCAACCCGTTCTTTTTTAATTCCGAAATTGATTTGGAGACATTTTTTTATGCAGACACCAAAAGTTGAATAAAGATGTTGATATATACAGCCTACGATTGGAAAGATATTTTGCATGATTGAAATACGCAACCCTTCATATTTCCAGATTTTGCATTATTAAGAACAGGCACACCTATCGCCCTTGGACAAAGCATGGTTAACTATTTCCTTCTCAAACCATCTCACATAGTTTTCTTCTTCACGGAGGTCCTCTAGTCAGAAGAATTTCCAACCATGCAGTTGCCCTGTTCCACGCCGTGAAAACGAGCCTAGAATAATTGAGACGACCTGTTCTTTTTTAAGCTATGATAACCAGAAGTATTTTGTATGAAGCACGTTACAATAGAAAAGATATGAAGAACAAGAAGAAGAACAACAAGAAAAAGAAGAAGAAAAATAGCATTGATTCAGAAGAAGGGGTTAGAAGCGGTGGAGATAAAAACAGAAAATAAGAAAAAAGATAAAGAAGAATTAAAAAGGAGTTGACTGAGGAGAAAGGTGTTAGAAACGGTAAAAATAGAAACAGAAGAAGAGAAAAGAATCAGTGGAGAAAAATAGATAAAGACAAGGAGTAAGCAATGCTTGCAGTGGTAGGAGTAATTGAAGAAGAAGAAGAAGAAGTAGAAGAAGAAGAAGAAGAAGAAGAAGAAGAAGAAGAAGAAGAAGAAGAAGGAGGAGGAGGAGGAGGAGAAAAAGAAGAAGAAGAGAAGGAAGAGAAGAAGAAGAAGAAGAAGAAGAAAGAAAAGGTGAAAGAGAAGAAGAAGAAGAAAGGTGAAGGAGAAGAAGAAGAAAAGAAGAAGAAGAAGAAGAAAAAAAAAAAGAAAGGAACGGAATTGGTAGAGATAAGAATGGAAGAAGAAAAGGAGTAGATATATTAATAAGAGAAAATGAACAAGAACAACAAGTACTCAATGATTTAATTGTAATATATATATATATATATATATATATATATATATATATAAGTAAACATTGAAGGCAACACTCAGAGGCAACAGGCTCTTTCATGCTAAACGCAATGTTCACTTTTATATTTAAATACGGTCTATCTCTGATATTGAGCACCTTATCCCATAAATATATCACACCTTAAAATTATATTTCTTCATTTACACACACATATATATATATATATATATATATATATATATATATATATATATATATTATATTCTGGTGATTCATAATTAAATTTCAGGTTTTTAATATATTTTGATTTATTGCTGAAATAGTAAAGATCTGAAGTCAATTTTTAAGCAAAAACCTGCGCAAGTTACGTATTTCCGTACATTTTTTTCAGACGATCTTTAAAACTTAATGTTCAAAAATTGGTAATAGCTATGAATACTGATCCCATCAAACCCCACCTTTAGCGCCGAGCCTAAAAAAATATGTGAATAATTAACCTGCCTAGTGCGTCATCCTCTAGGGACATGTCGAAATGCTTACGGCCAGGGAATATTCAATACAGCCGTGATTGAAAAAGTCAAAACTCAAGGAGAGAAGATGCTATGGAAAACGGTAGAAGAATTCATTATATACATAAGGTAACCAAAAAAAGTCCTTGCCGTTTTTTTTTTTTTTTTTTTTTTTTACGTCGTGTAGGAAGAAGAACTGACCAATGATAAGCAAATGAGTGCGTCACGTGCCGGGAAAGCGGAGCGATGACGTCATTGCTCTTGTTTAATTCAGGTGCAAGTGCATTACATATACAAATCGGTCATTGTCATGACGGTGTCAAAGTTCGGGAATTGTCTGCTTTATGGCGGGCTAGTCCGCAACTGCATCATGTCACTGAATACGTTATGCCATTCAGGATAATGATGTTAGTGAACGCACCGCCAGGCGTCGGTTCCAGAACGCACCGCCAGACGTCGGTTCAGGTCGGGAAATCTGTCCCTTTATAAAGAACCCCGGCGTGATAGTCTACGGGTCGTGAATAAGGAGGCCATAGAGGAGGAAAACAGCCAAACCTGTGGTTAACTTGCTGAACATTTTTATCGAAACAGTCGGAATTCATCTGCACCACATGTGGAACTTGTAGAAGCTGATCAAGTGGGTAACCCACACACTGTCTGAAGCCAACAAGCAACAACGAGTGAGGGTCTGTTCTCCGTTGCCTTCTCGCCACTGCAATGTCTCCATATCTTTTCTGTGATCTAGTAACATTGTCTTCTTGCTTGCTATGAAAAAAAACCAAAAAAAAACTGAATGACAGAACTAATTTCAACACGGAACTAATTTCAA